GATGGTCGGGGCTTTGGGCCGGATTCTGCCCAACCTGGGGGGCCCGGCGGGCCGAGTTCGCCGCCTCTATGTGGCAATGGTTCAGTCGGTGGTCCTATACGGGGCCCCCGTCTGGGCGGACGACCTGGCGGCCTCCCGGCGCGGCATGACTATGCTGCGTCGGGTGCAGAGGCGGATGGCTCTAAGGGTCGTCCGCGGGTACCGGACCGTGTCACATGAGGCGGCGACGGTTCTTGCGGGGATGCCGCCCATGGATCTCCTCGCGCGGTCGCACGCGATGATGTATCGTCACCGCGTCGACCGTCGCGCGGGGGTGGGGGCGGTCCCGGGTGTGCAGGAACCTGCTTGGGGCGAGTTGAAGCGCCAGGCCCGGCAGTCCGTGGTGCACGCGTGGCAAGAGCGGTTGGCTCTGCCTACCGCGGGGCACCGGACAGTCGGGGCTGTTCGGCCACTCCTATGTGAGTGGCTGGACAGAGGCCATGGAAGCCTCACTTACAGGATGGCACAGGTGTTCTCGGGGCATGGCAGCTTCGGGAGATACCTGTGCCGGATAGGGAAGGAGCCGACGGCGCGTTGCTGCCATTGTGACGCTGAGCAGGACACGGCGGAACATACCCTCGAGGTATGCGCTGCATGGGAGGGTGAACGCCGTGTCCTGATCGGCGTCATCGGGCGGGATGTCTCGCTGCCGGGCATGGTGCGCGCCATGCTCGGCAGCGAGGAGAAGTGGAGGGCCGTGGCCTCCTTCTGCGAAATCGTAATGTTGCAGAAGGAGACCGCGGGAAGGGAGCGCGAGCGTCAGCGGCGCGCTGAGGCTCGCGCTCGTTTGGTGGCGAGAGAGCGTCGCCTGGGCGTCAGGCGACGCGGGCGGCCCCCTCGGCGTGGCGCATGACCCAGGCTGGGAGGGGGGTCCTGATAGGAGCCCCCTCCCGCCAGGCGGCGTAGGGTCGGACCGGATGGGGTGGCAGTGCCTCCTGTCCGGGTCCGGCGCACGGAGCGGCACCCTCGGTGGCCTGGTGCGGCCATGAGCTGCCGGCCTCCGAGGGGTAGAAAAGGGGTCGCGGCGGTTGCGAGTTGGGGCTCGCAGCCGCCACTAGACGCGGCCCCGGGACGGATGGCGGCAGGACGATGTGGCCTCGTCCTGCCGCTATGAGACAGGGCGATTACCGGGGGGACCGTTTGTCCCCCCGCGGGTGGGCGCAAAGCGCGGGCACGGGGAGGATACCGGAAGTATACTTCGAGCGATTCCCGGTATCCTCCCAAATCGTGCGGAAGGGTCACCGTGGGGTTTTTAGTGGGTAGGTCCCGCGCCCGTTATAATGGGCGCGGGGAATCCCACACACCCCTCCCGCCTCTCCCCAAAGAGGTGGGAGGGAGTCTTTCGAAGATTTTCCCCGCGAAAAGAAAAAAGCCATCAACGAGATACTAGACATCTCCAGCATGGGAGCCGCCTTAGACTTCCTATACAGTTAATTATCAACATTCCAAACAAAAGTCCAAAAACTTCAAGCCTTCTTAGAAGCCGCCGAGCTTATAAATGGCTAATCTCCCCCCAAAAATAATCCTATGGAACGCCACCAGCATCCTCAACAAAATCCCAGAACTCCAACTCTTCCTTGAACATCACCAAATCCAAATAGCCCTCATGTCAGAAACCTGGCTAAAGGTGATTCCATCCGACTCACCAGATATAGCATCATCAGAAACGACCGCCCAACCCCAAAAGGAGGAGTAGCAATCATAATGCACCAGAGCCTAAAATTCGATCCACTCCCACTGCCGTTCCTGGACAACGTAGAAGCCATATTCATCCAACTCTCCAATAACCCTAAAACCATCATAGGCGCAGCCTACCTAACTCCCAGCAAACGCTTCTCACAACAAGACCTCAATGCATTAACCACACACAATCAAAAATTCATAATTGGGGGCGACTTCAACGCCAAACACACCTGCTGGAACAACACAAGCACAAACACCAACGGCAAAACACTATACACACACATGACCAAAAACTCGTACCATATCGCACACAGCGACACATACTCCCACAAACAACCTCGGGCCAGACCCTCAAACATAGATTTCTTCCTAACAAATTCCTCCCACTACACCGAATGCTACACCATCCACGACCTACCCTCCAACCACCTCCCAATCATCCTAAAGCACAACACAAACAGCACAAATTTCACAAACTGCACAATCTCCACCACCAACTGGCTCCAATTTCGCAACCAGGGTAGCAACTACCCTATCAACGCGCACCTTAACACCACACAGGACATACACCAAGAAATTTCCAAAATCCAAAAATCAATTCTACGTTACCACAACAGAGCAACCACCACTTCCCATGCTTACTCCAAAACCATTAAGCCAGACCTAGAGCTCATCAACCTCATCAAACTCCGAAACCGATACAGGCGCAAATACCAGAACACTGCTAACCCCCTGCACAGACACCTCAAAAACACCCTCACAAACCAAATTAAGACCAAGATCCGAGACCTCAAAAACACCTCCTGGAACCGCAAGCTCTCCCAAATCGACTCCAACCCCATCACCCTCTGGTCAACCTACAAAGCCCTGAAAAACAACAAACACACCATACCTCCTCTCACAGCCAACAACATCACAGCATACACCAACTCCGATAAAGTGGAACTCCTAGCCAAAACACTCCACCTACCACCCCCTCAACCTAATAACACCACTACAGACCAGGAAGCCGATCTCCTCGCTCAGAACCTTGCCTCCTCCGACACCACTCCACTCAACCCACAATTCATCACCCCACAATTAATCCACAGACTCATAAGAAACCTGAAGAACAACAAATCCCCAGGACAAGACCAAATCACAGCACTCCAACTCAAAAACCTACCCAACCGAATGATCATCCAGCTTTACTACATCCTCAGGCAATCCTACAACCTGGCCTACTTCCCCAGCTCCTGGAAAACATCTAAAATCATACCCCTCCCTAAACCAGGGAAAGCTCACACCAATCCTAACAACTATAGACCAATCAGCCTCCTGAGCCTGCTAGGCAAAATCCTAGAGAAAATCATCCTGATAGAAATACAATCCCATCTCTCAGAAAACAACTCCCTAATCCCAGAACAATTCGGCTTCCGAGCCAAACACTTCACAATCCACCAAGCCCTCAGACTGCAGGAAGACATTGCGCTAGAAGTGAACAAGAACAGATCGGTGGCTCTAGTCCTACTAGACCTCCAGAAAGCCTTCGACACTGTCTGGCACAATGGACTCCTGCTCAAACTACAGCACATTAACCTCCTCAAACATCTAATCAAGATAACCCAAAGCTTCCTTCACAACAGAATGATGACTGTAAACCACAATGGCACGAAATCCACACCCAGACCACTACATATAGGAGTCCCTCAAGGGTCAGTCCTTGGCCCTATACTGTTCAACATTTATATAAACGATATCCCCAGAAACCACAACACCAAACTCGCACTCTACGCCGACGACACTGCAGTCTACTCCTCCTCATGGGCCCCAAATCAAGCGGTAAAATACGCGCAAGACCACCTTAATAGCATCCATCAGTATACCCAGACCTGGAAGCTTACCTTAAACCCCACCAAAGCAGAGGCAATCATCTTCACCTGCAAGCGTAATCCCAACCTCACCAACCTCTCCATAGACAACCACCCCATAATCTGGTCAGACAAAGTTAAATACTTAGGAAGCTGGTTCGACACAAAACTGAAATGGAAACACAACACACACGACCGAGCCTGCAAAGGCATCGGAATCCTACGCATGCTTTATCCTCTCATAGCCAAAAACAGTCCACTCTCTACCTCTCTGAAACTCCGCATATACAACACCTGCGTACGCCCAATCCTAACATACGGAGCAGAAATCTGGTGCACCACAGCCAACACACACCTGTCCAGGATTCAGATAATACAGAATAAGTATCTCCGCATCATTCTAAACAAGCCTCTTTCACCAGAGAATCGCCACACAACTGCTTCATTGCATGAGGAAGCACAAATAGAATATATTCGCGAGCATGTCATGAAGCTGGCCGCTACAGCTCAAATCTCCAACCTACATCACCCGAATCCCCTAATAGCCACTCTAGGGAACTATGACCCCATCACCATCCCACTAAAAACGCGGATAAAAACACCCAGACTCATCCTAAACTAGCAACCCCCACTATCAAACTAACCGCATGACGCATGAAAACGAGGTTTTTGAAAGTTTTCCCTCGAACCTGAACGCATGAAATACCACAACCCCACACTAACATAAATATATACCAGGCACTAACAATTATTCTAAATGCAGGTTATAGGGCCCCCAGCCCCAGGTAGTGCAACTAAACATGAATAATAACAAAAAAAAAAAAAAAAAAAAACATGTTCGGCAGTCGCTACCCGACTAAAGTCAGAGAAGCTCCACAGTGCCGGCTCCTACGCGGACGTGCCAAACTGCTGGAAAACCTATCGACTAACCGTCGGGTATACTCGCCACGGGAAAGCTCCACAGCGCCGGCTCCTACGCGGACGTGCCAAACTGCAGGAGAGCGCCCACCGCCTATCTTTGAGATATCCTCAACGGCCCCGCGCACTTGGCCAGGGCCTAACGATCTCCGACGGCGGATCTTCCGCCGGACCTTTTGTATACGCATTACAATAAACTCGAGTCCACCTCCGGGCAGACTCCTGCATCCTACCAAGTCGTTCGTGTCACTCTAAACACCCGCACCCTCCTCATCTACCCCCTTTTCTCCATCCTCTCCCAATACCTCCCTTCTTTTCCCTCCCTGTTTCCACAGGGAAACACTAGTCCTCTTACATTGGCGCCCAACGCGCGGCTCTTCGCCGGATTCGAAAACAAGGAGTTTTCGACCAACGCCCGGACGAGGAAAAGAGGACACCACGGCTTCCCACAGGAGTAGGAGTAGCCGTACGAAAACGGACATCGAGACGCCCAGAAGAAGCCCCAGGAACATGGCGATCCAGATGACGGAGGAGCAGCTCCTTCGCCTGCTCAGCGCGACGCGGCGCATGGACGCGCCCGCCGCAACCCCGCAAGAAAGTTTCGCCCGCTGCACGGCGAGATACGACGGAGCACGCTGCAGACAACGGCTCGAGGAGTTCATAGCCACCGCCTTGATATTCAAGGATATCGAAAACATCACAGACGGCAACGCGGTGAAGGGACTCCCGCTCCTCCTCGAAGGAGAAGCCGCCATCTGGTGGCAAGGCGTAAAAACGAACCACGCAACATGGCGCCAGGCCATGGACGCCCTACAGCAGCAGTACGCACCACGTCGGTCGGCCCCTACAATATATGCAGAACTGTTTGCAACCAAGCAGGATGGCCGCGTCTCCACAGACGCCTTCCTAGCGGGGAAAAGGGCCCTGCTGGCCGAGCTTCCACACCGCCATGAGGAAGGCATTCAACTGGACATGGTATACGCGCTCCTGAAACTAAGCCTGAGGTATAAAATACCGCGACGCAGCGTGACAACGTTTGACGACCTCACTCAGAGGGCAAGGGAAATAGAGGCCTTCGAACAGGAACGCAAGTCCAGCCAGCCAATAGTCAGAAGGGAGCCGTCACCAACCAAGAATCGTGTGAGGTGCACCTACTGTAGGAAGGACGGGCACTCCACAGAAGAATGCCGAAGAAGACGTCGGGAGCAAACCACGACACCGACGCAACCGGCACAGCCCGCACCAACCACCGTTCGGTGTTATGGCTGCGGGAAAGCGGGCTATGTACGAAGCCGCTGCCCCAACTGTACACAAGCCCAATTGTCCAGCATCGAACCAGCCGAGTTCTGCGCAATTTCCGCCACGCAGCAATGCCCGCGACCATCAGTCATGGTACGCATACATGGTCACTCAGGCTATGCCTTCTTCGACACAGGGGCAAAAACCAGCGTTGCGAGCAAAGGGCTGCATAAAGTGCTCGCGGACAGCGGAATACGCTTCCAACGAAGCCAGATGAGAGTTGCCTTGGCAGACGGACACCCACGGACCAGGACCATCCTAGGAGCCCATCTCACGGTATCCCTAAATGGCCACACTATCAAAGCACCATTCATCGTACTCCTAGAAGCAGAAGAAAACAGAACCCTCCTGGGAATGGACTTCTTGGAAATGGCCGGGGTGGTTATCAATATACCGCAGAGGGCATGGCACTTCCTCGACCGACCAGATCGACAATATCTGTTCAATGCAGAACCATGCATTGAGGAGCTGCCACGAAGGACGAAGCGTCCACCCAACAGCACACTGATGTCCATTGATGCGCGACACCACGCCAACCGGCAGCAGGAGAAACACCGCCAGGACAAGGGCCAAACGCCACCGCCGACCGAAGAGAAGGACGATCGGGAAATTATCGACGAGCTATTTGAACGCTGCTTCTCAGGATACGTTGAGCTAGCGGCTGTCGAAACCGAGATCAGAGCGGACGAGCCCCGAACCCTTCCTTCGGAATCCAGGCAAGAGCTGTCCACCCTCCTAGAACAGCACCGGGACCTGTTCGAAAACCACGGGGACCCCACAAACCACGCCGAACATCGGATCGAGACGGGCGACAACGCCCCAATCGCAGTTCCCCCGTACCGCCTGTCACCAGCCAGGAAATTCGCACTCCGCGAAGAGCTAAACCAAATGCTGGCAGACGACGTAATCGCGGAATGTGAATCGCCATGGGCAGCTCCCGTGGTGTTGGTTAACAAACGGGACGGAGGAATACGCGTATGCGTCGACTGTCGCCGTCTTAACGCGATAACCACGACGGACGCCTACCCTCTCCCAAGGATCGACGATCTACTGCACTCGGCACCGAAGCCAGCCATCATGACAGCCCTGGACCTAAAAGCCGGGTACTGGCAAGTACCGGTTAGGAAACAGGACCAGGAGAAAACGGCATTCACGACCCCCTTTGGGATATACTGCTTCCAACGAATGCCGTTTGGCCTTAAAAATGCACCGGCCACCTTCCAGCGGCTCATGGACCGCTTCAAGAGTAATTTCCCTGGGCTAACAATGGTCGCATATTTGGACGACCTCCTCATCTTCTCGGCCTCATGGGAAGACCACCGCAACGACTTGCGAGCGGTATTCGAGCGCCTACGGACGTTCAAATTACGGTTGAATCGAGGAAAATGCCGATTCGCATGCGCCCAGATCCGATATCTGGGACATATCATCTCGAACAAAGGACTTCAACCCGACCCCAAGAAGATCCAAGCGATCCTGGACCGCCCGAAGCCCCAAAACCTCCGAGAACTCATGGGGTTCGTACAAACCTGCTCGTGGTTTCGCCGATTCATAAAAGATTTCGTAGCGACAGCGGAGCCCCTCACGCGCCTCACGCGCAAAAACGCCACTTGGACCTGGGAATCCGAGCAACACGAGGCATTCCTACGCCTCCAGAAGATGTTGACCGAGGCCCCGATCCTCCAGCCAGCGGACAGCACGAAACCGTACAAAATCCGCTCCGACGCCAGCGGATACGCCATCGGAGCCGTTCTACTACAAGGGGACCCGACGGCAGAGCACCCGGTCGAGTACGCAAGCCGCTTACTATCGGCCGCGGAGAAAAACTATTCCACTACGGAACGGGAAGCATTAGCCGTCGTCTGGAGCATCTCTAAGTTCCGGGGATACATCGAAGGCGCGCAAATCCAAGTCATTTCAGATCACCAACCGCTCCGATGGCTATTCGGCCTCAAAACGCCCAGCGGACGACTGGCCCGATGGGCCCTATTACTGCAGCCCTACAACCTGGTCGTTGACTACGCCCCAGGAAAAGCCAACGTGGTCGCCGATTTCCTCTCGCGACCGCCCCCGAGTCTCCAGGACCAGGGGGAGCCAAGCAGGGTGAGCTTAGTCAGCATCGACTTCCCGACTAGGGGGAGCGCTGAGCTGCGCGAAAGCCAACTCAGGGACGAACACCTACAGAACATCATCAACAGTTTCGAGGACACCGACCAAGGAGAAGAATTCCTCCGCTGGACCCAGCGCGGCTACCTGCTCGCCAACGAGTCCTGTACCGCTTCTCGCCCGACATCGATGGCTAGGACGCGCAATTCGTCGTACCAGAGCACGAGCGAGAACACGTACTTCGTGAGTATCACGATTCTCCTACCGCTGGTCACTACGGCACGGAAAGAACGATCCAACGGATCGCCTCCCGGTTCTTCTGGCCCCACCTCCGACGAGACGTCGTCCGACACGTCCGAAATTGCGTACCCTGCCAGAGGTACAAGGCCACGAACCTTCGACCCGCGGGACTGATCCAGACGCCCGCTATGCAGCAACGATTCGAGGTCCTTTCCGTCGACCTGTTCGGGCCATTGCCCGCCTCCGCCAACAATCGACGATGGATCTTGATCGCTGATGACTTGGCCAGCCGATGGGTGGAGCTGTTCGCACTAGAAACCGCCTCCGCCGAAGCCTGCGCCACTACCCTCATCGACGAAATATTTCTACGGTACGGCGTGCCTCGCCGGATGGTGTCCGACAACGGCACACAACTCGTTAGCGGCATCATGCAGCACGCCCTACACTGCCTCGGGATACACATGCAACTGACACCCGTGTACCATCCCGCGGCCAATCCCGTGGAACGGAAAAACCGCGACCTTAAGGCGCAGTTAGCAATCCTGGTAGGAAACCAGCATCCCCAATGGGAAAGCAAGCTGCCGGCCATTCGCTTCGCCATGAACACGGCCCGAAGCTCGAGTACCGGCTATTCCGCGGCCTATCTAACGTTCGGACGAGATCTCCGCACCCCCGATGACGCCACCCGGGACCTACGAACCATCACCGAACAGGAGAATTTTATTCCAGAAATCACTCCCCGCTTGCTCCAGCTCGCCAATATCCTCGGTCTGGCACGCGAAACCCACGAGGAACAGCAGGACCGCAGCAAACGGCATGGAGACCAGAAAAGGAAAGCCGACCCAGGGTACTCTCTCGGGGATCTGGTATGGGTCACGACGCACACCCTGAGTCGCGCCGCAAAGGGAATCACCTCCAAACTCGCCCCGAAGCGGGACGGGCCATACGTGATTCTGCGGCCCGTGATACCCGCCAGTTATGAAGTCGCCGCTCAGAATGACCCGCAGACTCCTTTAGGAGTGCACCACACCTCGGCATTGAAGCTTTGCCAGCTTCCCCAAACGCAGGACGACATCTCGCCCATCGTTCCGCGTCGCCGCCGAGGCCGACCACGAAAAGCCACCGCTTGAAGTAAACTAACCCCATCGCGCTTTCATTTCCTGGCCATCTTGCCGGGACGGCATCGAGGCCAGAGGGGGAGTCTGTAACGCGACATAATATTTTTCCATACATATAAGAACGACGACGCGACTTTCGCCGACACACCGCGCCCTTAGTGTTAACTAGGCTAGAAACAAGCAGGTAATATTAAAAATAGAAGGGTCGCAACCAATCAGCGGCGGCTCAGGGCAGCGCTAGCGCGCTACCCTTAGTATAAATACGGGCCCTCAGGCCCATGTTCGGCAGTCGCTACCCGACTAAAGTCAGAGAAGTTCCACAGTGCCGGCTCCTACGCGGACGTGCCAAACTGCTGGAAAACCTATCGACTAACCGTCGGGTATACTCGCCACGGGAAAGCTCCTCAGCGCCGGCTCCTACGCGGACGTGCCAAACTGCAGGAGAGCGCCCACCGCCTATCTTTGAGATATCCTCAACGGCCCCGCGCACTTGGCCAGGGCCTAACGATCTCCGACGGCGGATCTTCCGCCGGACCTTTTGTATACGCATTACAATAAACTCGAGTCCACCTCCGGGCAGACTCCTGCATCCTACCAAGTCGTTCGTGTCACTCTAAACACCCGCACCCTCCTCATCTACCCCCTTTTCTCCATCCTCTCCCAATACCTCCCTTCTTTTCCCTCCCTGTTTCCACAGGGAAACACTAGTCCTCTTACATCTGTAATTATTGCTGCATATTGAAATATGATCCTTTTTCTCAGATCCTTCATAGAATTTATAGGATTTGAATAAATTCTATCTTTTAATTAACCTCTATGATTCCAACGTAGTCATGAAGCGTTTCAACAACTTCAATAAAGATATTTCTTAAAAATATCTCGAGAATTAACAATTTTTTTCGTAGAATTAACAGAGAAATTGATATGTGCAATAAAAAATATGCATTTCCATTTAAAGAAATGATACAATTATTAATTGCACATGCACTGTTCCATTTAAAAAAAAGTATAAGGATTCACAGATATAGTGTTTTTTGAGCCATTTATTTTTCTCTTTTGGCATTTTTTTGTAAATGCATTAATAACGAAGCTATGATCTGGAACAATTACGCGGGCCACCTTATGTACAGAGTAAATAATAATCAAAACTTGTAAAAATGTTTCTTGTGCATTTCAAAAATGTAATTTTATATTCAAGAAAAGTTTATTTGGATATTATCAACAGTTTTCTTAAGGAATGATAGAACTCGAATATCACTTGTTTCAAGTTTTCCTTTAAATTAACTATTACAGAAGTATAATTCTATTCTATGAAATCAGTATTCGAGTTACAGAATAAAGATGTCTTACGAAGTACAAAGTTAGAGAATAAAGATAGCTTGCCCTATGAAATTCTCTGATAAATTTTATCATACAACGAATAGTCTGAGCGAAGCGTTCGCACACGAGAACGGGGGCATAAAACGACGGCTGTCTGCAACCTAATTCCCGCGCGACTCTTCGCCAAAGACCAGGGCCCGGACGGTGTTTATCGTCGGTTTATACACCCCCGTGGCAGGTCCAGGCCACGAAGTAACCCTCGAGGTGGTTGTGAAATGTTGCTCTGCAGTTTATGTGGCTCGGCTGCAGTACGGAATTTCTAAGCTGCATTTAGGCGATAGCCTTACACGTCAACGAGAAGTCCAAGGTTCAGGAATTTTAAGCGCCTGATGAAGGTTTTGGGTCATGGAGTAAATTGTTTAACCGTCGTATGAGTAAGCTCCAATCCTTTTCGACCAAAGTTTGTAACTTTAGTCTTCATTTTTACTCCATCGCAACATTAATTGTGACCCTTTAGATCTTATTATTAGTGGTACTTACAGAGTGTCCACGCTAAAGTGTGACAGTCGTGATATTTCAATAACTACGAATCATACGAAAAAATTGTTTGTATGTAAATTGCAGGATAAAATAGGATCTCTATTTTAGCGTAAACGAAAATTTTGTTTATGTTATTAATTTAAAAGATATGATGGTAAAGTTTCATTTTTTAAATAGAACTATATATTTTTTTTTTTGATCATGCGATAGTGTTTTTCAGGACGAATTCATTAGCTGCAATTTATTCACCCGATTTTTATTAGTTTTCAAGATATAACGCTTAGAAATTTATATAAATATTGTTGCGGTGTTTGGCTCTGCCTGTTGAAACCAATAGCAAGGATCTACGCTCGGAACGGTAGACCCAAAGAATAAGAAATATGGAAAGTATTAACCATCTAAGTTATTAACGACACCATCCTCGATACGCAAACTTGGACCGTAATGGACAATACTTTCCATGTTTCTTACTTTTCGGGACTGTCGTTCCAAGATAGACTCTTGCTATCGGTTTCAACAGGCCAAGTCGAACAGACAACAATAGGACCGCTTTTATGTGTTGCCACTCAAACTGAGACGTCTCTGCTGAAAATCAGTAAATTTCTAAGCGTTATATCCTGAAAACTAATAAAAATCGGGTGAAAAAAATTGCAGCTTAATGAATTTGTCTTGAAAAGCACTATCGCGTGATCCCAAAAAAATCATATCTTTTAAATTAATAACATAAACCAAATTTTCATTTAAATCAAAATAGAGATCCCATTTTATCCTGCAATTTAAATATAAACAATTTTTTCGTATCATTAATAGTTATTGAAATATCGCGACTGTCACACTTTAGCGTGGACACCCTGTATAAGGGCCACCATATTTCATTTCGTTTTATTAAGCCATAGCTGGTGCCATGCTGATTGATATCGTTAGGTCATTTACGAGTAACGTTTTGCAAGAAAACCAATCATTTCTTTTGTCATAAATGTAGTTATCAATTATGTGGGATACGTTTTTTTCAAAAACAGTAATATTATAATGAGGAACATCATAAAAAACAAATAGATATTAGGATGAATCCGGTTTTTCTTAATTATGGAGAAGAAATTAACATAAATGATTAAAATATGAGGATAATAAAAAGGAATAAATACTAAAATACTTAGTCCTAGAATAAACTACTTTGGACTAAAATAAAAATTTGATGAAATGACTTAAAGCAAATATTTTAGTAAAGTTATTTAGTAGGTTATACTAAGAGAATACAGAGAAACAGAAACTAATGCAATCATAAATGAAATAATAGTAACATTTGCGGGTCTTCTGTGACGTTAATTCTGTAAAATTAATTTATACGACTTGCTTTTATATGCATTCATAAGTAACAAAATTTCAACTCATTTGGTACATACAAATCGTTCATTTGAGAACTTTAAATCTGTTGGAGAGTCAACATGAAAAATGAATAAATAATTCTTATTACGCAAAGAATAAGAATAAGAACTTACAATTAGACGACACAAAATAGTACCGAATATTATAGCAGGAAAAATCCAACCACTAAATGTTTCCGAATTTTAAATTGATAAAATTTATTCTTGTTATGGATTAAATATGAACAAAATCTAAGTATTTCAAAAACAACACAGTTTTGACAAAAATGTTAAATACAAAAGGTTTTTAGTATCAAGGGAGAAATATATCAAGCTTATTTATATTTTTTTTTGTAAAACGCTTTCAAGGTTATTTCGAGTGTAACTTTGATTTTTAAAGTAGAAATTTATATTTTTATTTGTAGAACAATCTGTTGTACGGAGTATGTTTTTTTTAGATTTTACTTTACAAAGATATTTAATAAAATAACAAATTTCTTTACTTATGAAACCTTTTGTATGACTGAATAATGATAAATCAATAATTATTACACTTTTTCACCCGGTTTTTTTACTATTGTACAAGGAATCACAATAGTCGTTTATATGCCCATAGATACAAAAAGGTATGAAATAATAGATTGTTGTTTTATTAAACAGAAATAAAGTATTTATTTAATAATGACAACGTTAGACCATATGTAGCCCAAAACATTTAAAAAGAATTATGTAAATTTAATTAAAAAGCTTTATCACACTTATCATATTCTGTAAGTATTGTTCCACTTGATTATTATAAAATTTGTGCATTGCAACAAGATAAAACGTTCTA